CCGAACCAACCCCGAACTGAATTGTTGCCATCCCTAATCCACCCTCATAGTTATCAGCATCTAAATAACTTCATCGAAGGAAAGATAAAATCTACAGAAATTGTCGACGACTTCTTTAGCAATAACTGAGTATCGTTGGCTCAGATAGTAGAGATAGAAAGGGAAACATAGTAGCAATTGGAGAACATCAACTAAGCATCGCCAGCGACTGAGCAGTGTTGGTGTAGAATAAATCTATTTTTAAAAATTGAAAATTGAAAAACAACCCCCCGTGTGATTTACAGAGTACTCATCTGAGCAAATAACTTCAATTTTCACAGTCGAAATTTGGTTAATTGAATTTGTGAGTAGTTCGGAAATATCAATGCCATGTGAGTAGATCTTTTGAATTTGTGACTTGTGACCTATGCACTTTGACATATCACTCGTCATATATGACGTGTGACCCTATGAACATTGATCTATGACTAGTTTTGATTAATTTATCACTTGTGGACATTGATTTGTGACCTACACACGGTGAACTATGACTTGTAAACAAATTGTGAGTTGCCACAACCTCATCGAATCAGCACCACAACGTGCAAACTACCAACAACCACCTACACCATCAACATTCACCACTATAACACTCCATTACAACCACCATTATCGCACTACCAACACCGTCGCCGCCGCCACCACCAACGCCAATACATCACAAAACTACCACAAATTGCTGCCAAACCAACACAAAAACCACTTCCAACTACCACTTTGAACATTTCATCCCACATCCACCAAAACCATAGAAAAAAACAGTGAAATAGGCCGGAGCACAGTGACCGAAAGTATAAGTAGAAGAGAGAAAGTGTGTAAAGGGAGATGAAGAGAGAAATGGGAAAATTGTCGGTTTGGTGGGGGTAAGATGGCCAATCAAACCTATTCTTTATTCAATAGAAGCTCAAAGAGGTGAAAATACGCTCATTAGGGGACTTCTTATTTCAGTTGTTCCAAGAGTCTCCGCTAATTGAACTAGGAAGGTCGTCCAGATCTAATCTAGTCTCACTTTTACTTCACAAGGATCAAGATCAAATAAACGTGCATTTAGCCGATACAAAGCTATATGATAGCACCCAATTTTTCTGATTCGGTGGGATGAAGTGGAGGTGAATGGGATGTGGGTAAATTTTATAATATTATTAATAATTCAATTAATACCTGATTAACAATATTACACTATCAATGATAAAAATACAAACTAGCATTTTTAGTATGTATCTTAATAAACAACTATTAAGTCTTAATAATGTAGTCGTTTATATCCATCATTTTTCGATTTTAGTTGGTCATATTATTAGATTTAGCTTCTCTATTAGGCCAAAAAGACCACATCATGAATGATAGTTTCTTTTAGGTATATGCAAGATATACTCAACTTTATTAGTAGTAGTAGTAGTTGTTGTTGTTATATTTTTCAATTGATGCCAACCCAACTTCTTAACTTTGTATTTCAAATTGTGTTGAGAAATGCGAACATAAACGCCGTCTCCCTTACCACAAGTTACGATGCAGGTTCGACTACTTCAACCAACCTTAAGAGGCACCTCTCCAAAGTGTAATGGAATCACCAACCTAGCAATGGGCCACATTGACCGTACCTCTTTAAGTATGTTCTCTTTTTTTCGTTACTTCCATATTTATTGCTCTCTCAAGTCCCAACTCGTTTCTTTCTCAATGTGGAATTAAAAAAAGAATGTTAGTTCAAATAGAAATCTTGTAATATCTAAATCTTATATGAGGATAAACAACAAAATTTCTTAATAATGCAGATGGTTACATCTTTGGCATATCTTAATCTGGTGTCACCTTAACTCGTTAACATTTTTTGTTTCACTGTAAGGATTGAAATTTAAATTCGTGCCAAGGTTGTGTAAGTGAACCCCATATACCACAAATTATGACGTATGCTTCACTTCTTGGGCCCACGCAAGGGCCAACCTAGGTTTTAGGTCTTATTGATCACCCATTGACCATGTCTCGGTACATATGTTTTCTTTTCGAGTAATGCTATTTATCATCATAATAATAGAATATCAGTGATATGACAATTGATTAACTTTTACATCTCTCACCCCACCCCACCACACCACACCATACCATCTTCTACTTATGAGATTGCTTCTTGATTGGTAAAACCTTAACTCATTTACTTCACTTTTTCAATGTAAAGATTTGTGAAAATTGTGGAGGGTTCGCGAAGTCTCTCTAACACAAATTATGATGTTGGCTCGACTATGGAATTCATTTTCCCACCAAAAAATTGGAAAAATGAATTCCTTGAAAAGAGAGAAAAGAGGCGCGTGGGTGGGGCATGGAAAAAAACTTTCATGTCAAATTTTGCCTATCAAACAAGTGTTTTAACATATAAAAAATATATGCTATCAAATATAGCCTTAGTTCAAATAGAAATCTTGTAATATCTAAATCTTATATGAGGATAAACAACAAAATTTCTTAATAATGCAGATGGTTACATCTTTAGTATATCTTAAACTGTTGTCACCTTAACTCGTTAACATTTTTTGTTTCACTGTAAGGATTGAAATTTAAATTCGTGCCAAGGTTGTGTGTAAGTGAACCCCGTGTACCACAATTTATGACGTATGATTCACTTCTTGGGCCCACGCAAGGGCCAACCTAGGTTTTAGGTCTTATTGATCACCCATTGACCATGTCTCGGTACATATGTTTTCTTTTCGAGTAATGTTATTTACCATCATAATAATAGAATATCGGTGATATGACAATTCATTATCTTTTACATCTCTCACCCCACCCCACTCCACCTCACCCCACCACACCACACCACACCATCTTCTGCTTATGAGATTGCTTCTTGATTGGTAAAACCTTAACTCATTTACTTCACTTTTTCAATGTAAAGATTTGTGAAAATTGTGGAGGGTTCGCGAAGTCTCTCTAACACAAATTATGATGTTGGCTCGACTACTTGGACCGAGCTTAGGAAGGAAGGAACCAACTCAAAATCACAAATTAAGTATTAATAACATAGAGTATCAACAAGATGCTACGTCAATAGCCAAAACTGTTTTTTTCTGAGTAGGGTAGGCTTGGAGTTAGAAATCCTATTTTTCCAACAAAACAAGCACTTTTCACAGTTTACACTTTACATTTCCGCACACAAAACAAGGCTTACAGATAACAATTAGACCTCACTAGGGACAAGACCAGACTATAGACTTGGACGAGAGATAAGTCTAGGAAACCAAGATATTGCATCACGTGAAAGTAGCATCCTTCCACGGATGAACTTTGAGTGCATTTCGTCAGTCATTTTTTAATAGCATAGCATCAGAACTGGCAAAAGAACAATGCATTGTGCTTTGTCTCCGGTTTCGATTAGTCAAATTATTTATCAATTTTTCGTCGGATTCATTACTAGATTTAGTTTGTCTTACACTTTTCACTTTTAGCCTAGAGATCCCATTACGAATGACAATTTCTTTTAAGACTAAAAAAGATACACTCAAACTAACTCGTCATTTCTTCAATTAGTATCACCTCAACTCGTTCATTTTTCTCACAAGAAGGATTTGAACGGAGAATTGGGCAGGGGCCGTGAAAATGAGAACCTCTCCATCAGAAATTACGATGTAGGCTTGACTGTTTGGGCAAAACTTTAAAAGGGCCTACTGCGAACTGCTTTGGAAGTCGTCAATCTAGGCCATGGGCATTATTGATCACCCATTACCTTGTCTCTTTGAATATGCTCCATTCAACCATTAAATTCATATTTATTGCATTCTGAAGCCTCGACTCCTTATTTCTTTCGATGTGTTAAATCTAGCAAAATTGTTATCTTATAAAATGAAAGTCTCCAACCTTGGTTGTGGGACTTAATAGTTCTTGTGTTGACAATGTCTCTGTGCGTATGTTTTCTTCACCACTAGGTTCATATTTATTGCACATCTCAAAACAATTGCCATCCATAATCACATTTCCTTTTCTATTTTTTCCCGCTTCTACTTCTGCATCATGAATAAGAGTTATCTAGCTAGTATTTCAACTAAGTCATTATTTCTCCGATTGGTATCTCCTTAACTCGTTTATTTTTATTTTTCACTACAAGGATTTGGACTGAAAATTGTGCAGGTTCACAAAGCCTCACCAACACAAATTATAATGTTGGCTCTACTACTAGGACAGACCTTAGGATCGAACCTCTCAAAAGTGTCGTGGAAGTCGCCAACCTAGGATATAGTCAGTTCATTCATAATTTCATTGTTTTCTTAGGATTCATAGTTGGTGCTAACGGTCTTTCGGCAACCATCTCCAAGATACAATGACCATGTCAAGCCATATCAGCACTCCAAATGGCTTAAACCAACGAGTTGAAATGGAATTCTCTATTTACCGAACTTATGATTTTATGCAAAGAAATCACTTTTGATGAATTATTTTATGGAACATAACAGGTAAAGAATGATGTAGAATAATAAATACACGTCCAAGGGGTCCTATAGATAGAGGATGAGAGGTTGTGAATGAAGTGTCGCGCTCCCAAACTCAGCAACTCTTGCCAAAGTTGCACCATTCAATGTCGCTAGCATGTCGTTATCGCCTCTCTCGAGCAATAAAATAGTGACTTTGTCACTAGCCTGTCGCTCAAGTGAAAGTCCAGCATCAGACTAGCAACACACTTAGACAAATTTTCAACAATTTCCTATATTTTCTTCCCAATTTTGGATAGCAATTTCTCATTCATTCGAAATTGATTTTGGAAATTTCAAATATATCATGACAATCTACTCGACAAATAGAACAAATTGAACTACATAGTTTGGGGGACTAAGTTACGGTAATGTCAATAGATTGGGGACCAGTAATGCAAAATTTCGATGTTAACTAAAGTACAACACGAGAGTCCATAGCATAATAATTTGCAAAGGGTTTACAGAAAACCCTCGCACAGTTTTAGAGAGGAAGTAAAGACGAAAATGGAAGGCGTATCATACCAGAGATTCCCAAAGATCAAAATCCGGGAGGTAAGGGATGATTTCATGAAATTCGAGCTACGGGAGACGGACGCGAGTATCGCGAACGCGCTCCGGCGCGTGATGATTGCGGAGGTGCCGACAATCGCTATCGATTTGGTGGAAATCGAGGTGAATTCCTCCGTGCTTAACGACGAGTTCATTGCCCACCGTCTAGGGCTCATTCCGCTTACCAGCGAGCGCGCCATGGCGATGAGGTTTTCACGAGACTGTGATGCCTGTGATGGAGATGGTCAATGTGAGTACTGCTCTGTGGAGTTTCATCTGAGGGCAAAGTGTATTAATGACAACACACTTGATGTCACTTCTAAGGATTTGTATAGCTCTGACCACACGGTTGTTCCTGTTGATTTTTCGGATTCGTCTTCTGGCTTTGAGAACTCGGAGAATAAGTAATAGTTCTCTCTCTCTCTCTCCATGTTTGTGTTATATATGTTAAATTTTCTAATTTTCTGTAATTGTATTTGGGTACCGTAAATGCAAGTAATTATGGGTTTGAAGGTATGATTTTTTTATTTTTATTTTGGTTTGGTTATTCCTTAAGCAGTCACTACTATTTGTGCTGGTGATCTAGGCGGCTGTTAAATCTTAAAGTATTGGGGCTTGTAGGGGTTGCATACAATCTACTGAACTAAGGTTTCAGGAAGGATCTCTCACTCAACTAAGGTCGGGTTCCAATTTCTTTTTGGGAATGTCAAAGAACATAGTGAAGTTGTGGTGTGATTTTTTGGAGAAAGGTTTTTGCTGGGAAAATATGCAAATTAAAGGTAACAAAAATCGAAAGAGATTCAAGCTTTTTGGTTAACTTATTTTGAAAGAATGGAAAACTATAAAAATAAGGATAAAAGAGGGAAAGTGTGAAGATGAAAGTCCTGTTATATCTATAGGGCAGAATATTTGCGAGTTATGAACTTTTTGTGGGTTTATTATTGCTAATAACATACTTCGATTAATAAAAATTCAATAGATTTAGTGATAAATTGGATGGAATGGTGAGAAAGGATTTATGTACCCAATCCCAATTGGAAATAAGAATTTTTTTTTCTTGTATCCAATCCCCAACACAACTAAATATTGATACCGAAGAAGAATAAATAAACCCCCAAAGCCTTTGGTGGAATAAATACTCCATTAGTAGCTTGGAAGATGTCTAAACAATATGTATTGCCCACTTGTAAAGAATATAGTTTGTATGGCTGGAATTTGTTTGCCATTATGGAAATTTCATGCCGCCTTTTCCTATTCACTGTCATCTTCGAGAGTAATAAGAATTTTTATTCATTTTTGGAAATTATGTTATTTTGTTATGGTTTTTGGAGTTTAACAAAAATGTGGATGCTTTTACTAAAGATCTGTTGTGCTTGTGGAAGTCTTGATCCTGGAAGCTACTTTGGATGGATTCTTATATACATTTAGAGGGATCGCGAATTGCTGTCGGTGACATGTTTATTTGTGTAATTAAAGTAGGCTACTGAAAGTAATATAGGGTTGAAAGATGTGGATTTTATCGAGAATGGACCAAGAGCGATAGAAAATAAAAAAAAGGCCTTCTAACACAATTTTATGGTTGAATTGAAGACATGAAACTTTTCTTTCTTAGCCTTAGACACATGGCTTAGGTGAACTTGACCTTGCCGAGTTAATAAGGTAGGGAGTTGTCCCTAAATTTGACCCTGTCAAGTTAACTCAATATCATCAACCCTGTTTTATTGAGTTTTATGAGGTCGAGTAATCCTCCCACAAGAAAAATTCAACAGTAAACGTATAGATTTGTGTGATTGCAATAGTGAGAAACGATGCACATCCAAATTTGTTCGACGATCAGCAATGTGGGTATACATTTGATTTCTTTCCTTTCTTCATTATCTGGATCTCCGAGACACTGTTTATAAACAATTTTGTGCAACAATTAGAAAAATGAGGGGAGTAATTGTGAAAATTCAAAGAGGAAAACTAAATTAAACTCAACTTTGTTGGAGGAAACCTTTTTAAATGAGGGTATGCTTGACATTTTTTTCATCTTTAAGTTAGAATAAGGTCTTCTAAGAAACTTATTTAGAAGGGGAGATTTGAAGGTTCAACCTTGATGCCTATTTCCTGAAGTCCAGAAACATTGTCCGTAATAATAATGTTTTAGCCATGAACTTTCTGTGTGCATATTTTTCGTGGTAATATATTATCTCAATTAGAATATTTAAGTTTATAAAAACTTGATGCCTAGAGTCCAGAAACACATTTTGCTTTGTGTGTTCACAATGCTTTTACCAGGACATTATCTGGGTTAAGAGTGATCAAAATTTCTTTCAATGTGTACTGCTATGGTTTTTGAAGTGTAATTCAAGAACTGATCCTGATATGTGCATGGTGTCAAACTATTGATCTTTGGAGGTTATTCCATTTGTCAGCTTCCTAATATGATATGATGTGGGAGCCTCATTTGCTAGACTTGTGGCAAATTTGTGTCATTTTATTTACAGAGTAACAAACTAACAATGTTGGCCACATTTTTGTTGATCTTGCATATATGATCATTAGCAACTATAATTTTTTAGGGAAATGAATCCTTAGAAGATTTATGTCCATATATAGGGGAATCATAATTGTGAAGCTACGCCGCGGTCAGGAGCTGATTCTAAGAGCCATAGCTAGGAAAGGAATTGGTAAAGATCATGCTAAATGGTCGCCTGCAGCAACTGTCACTTTCATGTATGAACCAGATATTTATATCAATGAAGAGTTGATGGAGAGCTTGACACCTGATGAGAAAAGGGAGTTTGTTGAAAGCAGTCCTACCCCAGTGTTCAAATTTGATGAGAATACGAATCAGGTTGATCACATATCTCATTTTCGGTTAGGATCAAGATGTATGATGACATTATGTGTGGTTATCTAGCTTCTCTCTTATTTTTTCCCATATGTTTGATCGTTTGAAATATCGTTCAGATTATTTTTAAGACACTTGATCCAAATTATGTACTGCATTTGTCATCTTCCTTGGGACATCCCATATAGCCAATTTTTTTAAGAAGTTACGAGCATTCTCAAAATGTTTCCTTGGACTTGTAACCACTGCTTGGTTGTTTCTATGAAGCACGTCTTTGGTTTCTTGGTTCAAGGCCAACAGTTTAGCTACTTTATAGTTTGACTGTTTGTCTTGTAAGTGGTGTGCATTTGATGTGTTGTATATTGTGTACAATGAGTCATTAGTACCCAAGGAGAATTTTTGGAGGAATAAAATAGATAGGTTTGTGATATTTGAATTTAGAAGAATGGATTTATCAATGCCAGTGGAATTTGCAGGAGATGATGTTCATACAATCTTGAGGTTATCATTATTTCTTGTTAATGACAGTCAGCACAATCATATTAGTATCTTTTCATGTTACGCAACAACAATGAACCAAGAGTTTGCTTGCTACATGTTACCATACGATTATGTTATGATTATGATTTAAAATGCAAACCAGGTAGGAAATGGCGATCAAGAGGTCTTTGATACAATTTCATGGTCCATTACTTATATTCGGCTCGTATGTCATAAAATGACGTCTCCTCAAATGCTTTGGCCTTTGAGCACATATGCTTTTATGTTGTTTGAGATCTTAGTATTTAATAATGTCTCGATTGTCATTTATAACACTAATTTCATTTTTCTTTTGTCTTTGCAGGTTCTGATTCATGATGCCGAGGCATATACATATGACGAAGAGGTGATTAAGAAAGCTGAATCAATGGGCAAACCAGGCCTTGTGGAAATCCGTGCAAAGGAAGACAGTTTTATTTTTACAGTTGAGTCCACTGGCGCTATCAAAGCTTCTCAATTGGTTCTCAATGCAATAGACGTGCTGAAGCAGAAGTTGGATGCAGTTCGCTTGTCAGCTGATACTGTGGAAGCTGATGAACAGTTTGGAGAATTGGGTGCACACATGCGCGGAGGATGATTACTGAGACCAGATCAAATTTTACTTCAGTTGAGAACTTGTTATGGCTATGAGCGATCATCTATTTATGTAATTAGTTCAAGTTTCCATGGACAACTGAATTTTTTTGCTAATGCAAATGCCAAATTGCCTGTGTAAGAGGTGAACTTTATTCTAGGATAGCTTGATCCATGTAACGTCCTAAAAGTAATGTGTCCTCTCTCACTTGACGTCTATTTAGGTATTATTGATGAACAATCGGATTATGAGCTGTTTTCAGAATGCTAGATATGCTGTAGTTCTTCTCCATCTTGTTTCGGAATTCATTTTCTCATTTATCTATCCAAATGTTGTTGAAAGGAGCGTACAAATTAGAGAATCTTCAATCAAGAAACTTTTGATAGTTGATACCTGCTTTGTTTGTTGTACATATTAGCAGGATGAACTTGGCTTGGATACATAAATCAAAGGCTAAATTACTGCTTAGAAATCCCCCACCAACGCACACCTATATCTTGATTTAACCGGTTAAAGGTTGGGGTTCTGACCATGAGCCGATGACTCAGCCAGGCTTTGGTTAAGGAAATTTTGGTTAAACTGTAAAGACTCTTTTTGGCAAAATAAGACTTACATGAACTGCCCTTTTCTAAGACATTAGTACAAGTTTGGCTACGCTTAAAAATTATACTTAAAAGTATTATACTGTTAATATAAGTAGCTTAAGAAAAGAGGCTCTTTAGCCTGTTCAATAGATGCCCAAATCTCACGGATATGCGTCCAAATGGCAACCAAGTTTCACAGTTTTGATACGCAGCCTGTCCTCTGAATACATTCTCTTGATTTCCAAGGGACCCTTTTAGTCTAAATGGAAACCTGCAGAGGGTAAGTAGCCATAAATGTTAACCCTTAAACAACAAAAAACAGTGCATTCTGTAATATGACACCCCATCTAAAAACTTGGACCACAATTCCCTGTGACACTGGCCTTTTTCTTATCATATACATTCAATGCATCTCTCCCTCTCTCTCTCTCTCTCTCTCTCTCTATGTGTGTGTGTATATCTATGCATCTAGGGTACAATTTGTGGGTACAAGGGCTAATCAAAATACAAGTATGCTACATTGTCAAAAAAGTTGGACATTCTTCATTTACAGAATGTAAACAATCAACTTTGACATCCAATCATTTTCTGCTACCAATACATCTATAAATTACGATGTTATGGAAAAGTAGCTTAATTCAAAGGTCCTACAATGGAGATATTGGAACCTCAGTTTTTAACTTTTGTGGGCAGAAGAGTTGTTAAGAGTCTCATCTTTGTGTTGAAGATGTCAGACATTAATGCGTGAACCTTCTATCATAAAGAGGGGTTGTCTATTGCAAAATGAAGCCTTTATTCCTCCAGTTGCATTGTTATCTAGGGAGGCTTGTAAATATATTTTGGGAATTGTTATGGACGAAATCGAATTTGACCCCACCTAAAGTTCGTACATTTTTCGAAAGTTGTGATTTTCGAGTTCAAATATAATTTTAAACTCGTGGGTTCATTCAGTTCAACCCGTTAATTAAATAATATAAAGTTGACTTTTAAAGATGGAATTTCAAGTCTTGATCATAATCCATTAAGCTTAAAATGGGCATTCGATTGATCGAAAATTCAAACAAGCATTCATAGTTAATGTGCTCACAAGCCATCATTTTGTGAGGCATTTTAAAGGGTAGAATTCTATATTGAGAAATGATCGATTCGATCGGTCTAAGGCTCAAACGAGCCTTCAAAGTTCAAGAGAGATGGCTCGTGAGTCATCATCTTGCAACACATGTTAAAATGTAAAATTTCGTATCGAATAAAGATGAAAATATTAATTAATATATTTAATTTTCATAATACTATTTTTATTAAAGCTGATATTTTAAGATGAAAATCTAAGTCTAAATATGACATTAGAATCCATTAAATTCAAACGAGCGACCCACCATCTACGCAAAAGGTTAAGGTTAATAGCCTCCCAGGGCACATCCGAGTTGGTGGAACAATTGCATTTGTAGGTTCGCAACCCCAGCGTGGAGACTTCGATTCCTCGAAGGCACGAGTCTTGGAAGGGAGATTTTTTTTGAAGGCAAGACAATGACTGGAAGGCAGTGAGGAGAGCTCTCTTAGGGCCAGGAGTATAAGCAGTGCAAGAACCTGTGAGCCAACAAGGGCATAACCCGCAGTTTACCTCCTCGAGTCGTTGAGGGGCCGGTGACTAGAGGTTCAGGATTTAGTCTGGCTAAACTGGGATCTCTGGGTATCAAAAAAAAAGGTTAAGGTTAATATCTCACGTCAATCAAAGACAATTTCATTTTAATAACCTTAAACATTTATGGATGGCACTCCAATCTCAATTTTTGTAATAAAATATTTAATATCTCTTAAGGTTTCAACAAATTTTCATACCCCTCTCTTTGAGATGTGTGAGGGGATGGGAGTTGTCTCTTGGGATGCCGAATGTCTCATATGCCAACATTAACTGTACGAGTTAAAAAGAAGCCATAGGTACAATTATTCGACTCACGGGGAGAGTGTGCCATTGCAATGTAACAAAGAAAATAGACAGATTTTATCATTTATGAGGTAATTGTCTGATCAATTTGCACAGACATGGTGATGGTACTACCCCAGCCCCAGTGGATCTTGGGACCTTTATGAAACAAAAGACATAATTTTATTTAAAAAGAAAAAAAAAAATTTGTTTTATCTAATTGTGTGGGGTTGGTATGGACCTATGGTAATAATACTTGATTATATCGATAGTATTTTGAAATGGTGGCAGTTGTCCTACCTTTTGAAATCTTATGAAAATGCATCAGGGCAACGGCTTAATATGGACAAGACATCCATTTATTTTAGCAACAACATTAGGTTGGAGATCAAGACCGTAGTATTACATGCAGCCAATGTTAGAGAAGCGAAATCTTTTGAGAAATATTTGGGATTGCCGGCTTATATTGGAAGGAATAAAGTGTTAGCATTCAAATCGGTTCTAGACTCGATTAGGAATAGAATGAATAGCTGGACGGTGAAATTTATTTCGCAAGCTGGGAAAGAAGTTCTCATCAAGGCCATTATCCAAACTATCCCAACGTACTGCATGGGAATCTTCAAGCTTCCAAAAACCATTCTTCAAGCTATTAATCGGCAAGTAAAAAAATTTTGGTGGGGAAGTAGAGGGGAAAAAACTAAAACACAATGGCTCCCTTGGAATCTGTTG